AACAGTTTAATGTAATATAGTTGTTAGCCAATCAAAGAAAGTTCACAACGCTACCCGCGGCCATTTGTTTAACTAATTTTAACAGTCCAATACATATTGAAAATCAATTATTTCATATGCAAAACGTTAAAAAAATTAGTACTTTAAATTTTTCAATAAATAAATATTGTAATATAATTTATAATTTATAAAATATTTTGTTTCTTTTACATTTAAAAATATTATTTGATTATTAAAATATGAAGTGAAATTGTAAACAAATTTTTATCGATAAAAATTTATATTTACCTTCAAATAAAAAAAAAAGTGTTAGTAAAATAATATAAATGTAAAGGTATTTTAATACCTATTATTATTATGTGTACAAAAGGATAACACAATAATGTATTGCTTTGTTTTTTTTATTATATATCAGTTACAATCCATAAATAAAGTATATAAAAACTATACTCAAAAAAGGAATGTCAAATGTGGAATCTTACAATTTCTTATTCTATGGCTGATACGTTATATGCATCTATAAGTGTGTGCAGTAATGCATGTATATACACAGTGAAGTTTTGTATCCGGGCGTCAAACAATTTTATTGTAAATAAAACTTTGATCTTTTTGAAGTAGAACTATAAAAAATCATTATTTTAGAACAACATTACAATTTACGAAGTTTATGTACATATTTCCGTATTGATTATTGTAAAATTTTAAAAAAACTATGACCATAATTCATTGACATCATTGCTTGTCCGTGCCGATTTATTAGTGTTACCTTATATGTGTTGAGTGAGTGAAAAAACATGCAAGTTTTATACTATCTGACGCGTTTTATCACAAATTTTGATAAAAATTCGAACAAATAATGTCAACTAATTTTAGTGCAATTTGCCTTGATTAGAATTACATTTACAAGCGTTAATGTGCTAATATGTCGTTATAAAAAATAATGAAAAAATCTCTAAGAAAGAAAAGATTCTTTAAAAATTTTTATTTAACTGGGAAGGATTGTCTTTTTCTTAATATTTGAATTAAATTATCTTATGTTGAATTTAAACTGTAAAACTATTAATAATCATTAGCGCTTTTTCGTCTGTCAAGTGTGTAAGAACACCTGTGAATGTCGTATCGGAGGTAGTGCAACGGATCATGAATGTAAGTGTAGATTTTATATTACATATTTAATGTAATTGTAAGATGATTAGAATTACATTTACAAGCGTAAATGTAGGTGAATAAGTGTATAATATATCTCAAATTTTTAATACTTACAATTTCTTTTTAACATATGAAAAAACATTTCAATAAATTAATTTTTATAAAAAAGAAATTTATTCTTGATAGTTGTAATGCAATTTATTTATAAATATTGAATAGCTTTCACTTTAAATTAATAATAATAAATTAATCGAGTATTTTTATAATTTAATTGATTTTACAAAAAAAAAAAAATGTCTTCATGATTATTTCATGATAGATTGATGTTTATAAAGGACATAAATATATTGATATTTAATGAGTTCTAGTTGCTTCTTTTATGTAAACTATTTTCAGAATGCCTCGTTCTACATTATTCTGGCACCTAGTAGATATGAATTTGCTTATGTAACTGTCGTTAGATTACTGACCAAAAGAATTTATTTTCAATGACATCTTCTGAATGTAATTACTTTTAATAGTGCATTATGATTAATCAGTCTGTGAAATTGTATGGCACTGATTTATCTAAAATGCTCATTTATCAAAATTGACAAACATAATTATTGACATAACCTTATAGTTACAATAACCAAATCAGTGTTTTTTAAGCTTTTCTTCATGTTATGTTCTAATGCTTAAAAACATGGATAAATTTTTATATAAATAAAAATGCACTTATTTTTGTTTCTTAAAATTTGTAAAGTACATTAAATTAATAAATAATTAGAATCAAATTTGTGGTTGTCTAACTTATACATAATAATTTTCTCTAATTTGTTATTTATAATTAGTATGGCTTAAAGAACTACTTAATCCTTTTTGCATACAATTTTTCATTTAGGTGGTCAGCATAGCAGAGAGGTGGTGTCGGGAAGGTGGTTGACACGCCTTCGTATCTTTGAAATGATTGAAAGTGTATCGCGTAGAGCGTTGAGTGGCTCCAGTGGGAGCTACCACGTTCGTGGAGCTGAATTAGCAAGAAATCGTAGATTGAAATCTCTATCTGCTACTGTTGTCTTTCTTGATGACACACAACATACATTTCAACTAGATGTAAGTTTATATAATAATTATTTTAAATAGAATTCATTCTTTTTGTGGCATTTAATATATATGTTTAAAAATGTTTTAGAAAAGAGCAAAAGGTCAAACATTATTAGATTTAGTATTCCAACATTTAGAACTTGTTGAAAAAGACTATTTTGGTCTACAATATGCTGAAAATGGAGCTACAACATGTACATATTCACCAGATGTAATGGTAAATTTTTTCACTTAATTTATTAAAATCTAATTTTAATATTTCTACTAATTGATTAATATTATGATTGGATTAATGTTTTAGAGATGGTTAGATCCTAGTAAACCAGTGAAGAAGCAGATAAGAAGTAAGGGTAAAGATCGTATTTAGATGCTTGTTTACATAAATGAATACAAACAGATAAAAGATAATATTACATAGTATATTATTTCAGGTGGACAATTCTACTTTAGAGTGAAATTTTATGTATCTGATCCTAGTAAATTGCAAGAAGAATATACTAGATATCAGTTTTATCTACAAATACGAAGAGATATTCTTCAAGGAAAACTTCAGTTACCACCAAGTACAGCATGTCTTATTGCTAGTTACACTGTTCAGTGTAAGTATTGAAACATATTAATACTTATTTTATTCTACATTGCAATTATAATACATTTTCATGTAATCATAGCTGAATTGGGTGATTATCATCCTGAGGAACATGGACCAGGATATCTATCTAGATTACAATTGATACCAGGTCAAACTGAAGAAATGGAAAAGAAAATAGCTGAACTACATAAACTTCATAAGTATGTTGAAATTGTACATATAATGTTAATAATTTGAAGTTTAGGAAACTTCAATATTTATATTATTTTGTAGAGGTCAATTACCAGCTGATGCAGAATTCAACTTTTTAGACCATGCAAAAAGATTGGATATGTATGGAGTAGAGTTACATAAAGCAAGGGTACATACTTTTTTTATAACATCCTATATATTTTTAAAATAGTTATGTTATATTAATATCATTTTTTTTTCTTTTTATTTTTTTTTTTTTAGGATTCAACAAATAAAGAAATACAATTAGGTGTAACATCAATAGGTTTAGTAGTATTTCAAAATGGAATAAAAATCAATGTGTTTTCATGGTCAAAGATAGTAAAAATATCATTTAAACGTAAACAATTCTTCATTCAATTGAGAAGAGAACAGGTATTTTAAATGTTCAATTTGCAGTTAAAAAGAACAATTTAGATTTTATTACATCACATGAAATAATTTTATTACAGTCAGAAAACTACGATACATTACTTGGTTTTAATATGCAAACATATCGTAGTTCAAAAAATTTATGGAAAGCGTGTGTAGAGCATCATACATTTTTCCGGCTTCATAGTCCTAAAACGAGGCCGAGGCGTTTTCCACTTACTTTAAGTAGTAGATTTACATATTCAGGACGTACAGAATTCCAAACAGTTGAGGATGGAAAACATAGAGCAAGAGTAGAAAGAACATTTATACGGTAATATCTATGTATTTAATATCAATAACATTATTAATTTATTAATGTCAATATAATTATTTAAAACTTTCAGATCGCCAAGTAAAAGATTAGTACACGGAGTAACATCAGCTCCAATTATCGAAG